AATCCCTCCCCAAATCCCCCCAGGACCCCCCAAATCCCCCCCACCCTGCTGAGGATGATGATGGGCAGGTTCAGGGCCTGCAGGGCGGTGACGAAGCTCAGCGGCGTCAGCGGAGACACCAAAACCCCCAAAAACGCCCCAAAAACGGCCACGAACGCCAGCCCTGGGTGGGGGAGGGGACAAAAAGAGCTCAGGGTCCCAAAAAATCCCAAAAAACCCCAAAATCCCCCCAAAATCCCAGACAAACCTCGGCCCGTGCGGCCCCCGAAGTGCAGGATGAGGAAGAGGAGGGTGAGGGTCTGAAGGAGGAGGAAGAGCGACTCCCCCCAGGCGCTGGAGGAATTTTTTGGGGGGTCAGGAGAGGTCGGGAACCCCCAAAAATGGATTTGGGAGGTCCCAAAACCCCCCAGGAGGGGAAAAATCCGTGAAAAATGAAGGGAAAATGGGTCAAAATCGCCCTGAAACTTCCTAAAATCCACCCAAAACTTCCCAAAATCCCCTCAAAACTTCACAATTTCCCCTCAAAACTTCAAAAATCCCCTCAAAACTTCCCAAAATCCCCTCAAAACGTCACAAATCCCCTCAAAACTTCCCAAAATCCCCTCAAAACGTCACAAATCCCCTCAAAACTTCCCAAAATCCCCTCAAAACGTCACAAATCCCCTCAAAACTTCCCAAAATCCCCTCAAAACGTCACAAATCCCCTCAAAACTTCCCAAAATCCCCTCAAAACGTCACAAATCCCCTCAAAACTTCCCAAAATCCCCTCAAAACGTCACAAATCCCCTCAAAACTTCCCAAAATCCCCTCAAAACGTCACAAATCCCCTCAAAACTTCCCAAAATCCCCTCAAAACTTCAAAAATCCCCTCAAAACTTCCCAAAATCCCCTTCAGATGCCCCAAAACTCCCCAAAATCTCTCCCAAACTTCCCAAAATTCCCCCAAAATCCCTCTCAGATCCCCAAAATCCACCCTGAAACCCCTCCCACACTTCCCAAAAACCCTCCCAAAACTCCCAAAAACTCCCCCAAATCCCGCCCAGACCCCCCCAAAATCCCACCCCAAACCCTCTCAGATCCCTCCCAAACGTCCCAAAAGCCCCAAAACCGCCCGGATTTGCCCCAAAAACCTGAAGGGGAAGCTCCTGGCGCAGCCGTAGCCCACGGAGCCCCCCAGGGCCAGCAGCTCCAGCATCGCTTTAAAATTGCCCCAAAATTCACCACTGCGGGACCCCCAAACCTTCAGCAGCTGCGGGACCTTCACTGGGAGGGAGAAACGGGGTCAAAAACCAAAAAAAACCACCCCAAAATACCCCAAAACCACCTCAAAATACCCCAAAACCGCCCCAAAACCGCCCCAAAATACCCAAAAACTGCTTTAAAACACCCCAAAATTCACCCCAGGGACCCCCAAACCTTCAGCAGCTGCGGGACCTTCACTGGGAGGGAGAAATGGGGTCAAAAACCAAAAAAAAACCCAAAAAAACACCCCAAAACACCCAGAAACACCTCAGAAATACCTTAAAACCAGAAAGAAATGCTTTAAATTACCCCAAAATTACCCCAAAATTCACCCCAGGGACCCCCAAACCTTCAGCAGCTGCGGGACCTTCACTGAGAGGGGCAAAACCCAAAAAAAAACAACCCAATAGTATCCCAAATCATCCTTAAAATAATTTGAGACTTTTAAATCCTCAAATTCCTCCCCAAACCTCCCAAAATCTCCTCAGATTCCTCCCAAAATCTCCTCAGGCCCTCACCCAGGACGGATCCCGCCACGATGCCGTAGCCCAAAACTTTGCTCAGGAGGATTTTTAAGCACGGAACTGCGGGGAAAGAACAAAAGTGAAGCCAAAATTCCCAAATTTTTTTCAAAATCCCCTCAAAAATTCCTCAAAAAATTCCACAAAATTTGAAATATTCCCCCAACACCCAAAACAAAGATGGCGGCAGCGTCGCCCTCACAGCCAAAACAAAGATGGCGGCGCTTCTTCTCCCGCGCCCACAACCAACATGGCGGCGCCCATTCGCAATTCCCGCCCTTAACCAAAATGGCGGCCGCCCCCACAGCGCTGACAGACGCCACAAAATCCCCCTCAAAACCCCCAGAAAAGCCCCGAAAAGGCCCAAAATCGCTCCCCGCGACCCCTCCGGCACCATCGAGGAGTTGAAAGCGCAGGAAGAATTGGTCGAAGCAATGCTCGGGCAGCAGGAACGGGACGAGCCAAGGCCGGAGAGGCTCCATGGCGGCTCCCGCGCTGAGCGGAAAACGGCGGGAAAAGCCTCGCGGTCGTTCTGATTGGCTGAGCCGCCAGAAAATCCCGCCCCTTAAAACCCTCCTCGCAATTCGATTGGTTAGAATTGATGAGTGCCCTGCCAATCAAAGCCTGAACCGCGCGGCGATTGGCTAATGCTTAATTGCGCAACGCGATTGGCTGAGTGGGCGTAAAGCTCCGCCCCTCTCCGGCGCGGCGGGCTCTGATTGGTCAGATTAACCTAAATTAAATTAATTAATTAATTAATTAAAATTAATGCGATTAAAGTTTTAAATCCCTCAGAATCCCACAGAATTCCCTCAAATTTGCATCCCCCCAAAAAATCCCTTTAAATCCTCCCTTTAAAAGCCTCAAATGTGGGTCACGAGCACAGATTTGAGGGATCTTGAGATTTTCAACTTTGGGGGATTCCAGAGGGATTCAGGCCCCGAATTTGAGAGAATTTGAGGGAATTTGGGGGAATTTGGGGGAATTTAGGGGAATTTGGGGGAATTTGAAGGAATCTGAGGGAACTTGAGGGAATTTGGGGGAATTTGAGGGATTCAGGCCCTGAATTTGGGGGAATTCGAGGGAATTTGAAGGAATTTGAAGGGTTCGGGCTCTGAATCTGAGGGAATTTGAGGGAATTTGAGGGGTTCAGGCTCTGAATTTGGGGGAATTTGAGGGAATTGGAGGGGTTCAGGCTCTGAATTTGGGGGAATTTGAGGGAATTGGAGGGGTTCAGGCCCCGAATTTGAGGGAATTTGGGGGAATTTGAGGGAATTTGGGGGTTTCAGGCCTCGAATTTGAGGGAATTTGAGGGAATCGGAGGGAACTTGAGGGAATTTGGGGGGTTCAGACCCCGAATTTGAGGGAATTTGAGGGAATTTGAAGGAATTTGAGGGAATCGGAGAGTCCAGGATCAGATCTCGACGCACCGGGGGAGTTCACAGACCCTCTTTTCGGGCGGTAAAACCCTCTTTTACCATTTCACACGGAATTTCTGGACTCTCACACAGATTCTGAGGAGGCTCAACCCCTCCAGCTCAAAATTTTGTCCTTTCCAACCCCTCAAAAACCCCAAATTTTGGGAATAGGGAACGTCCAAAATTAACTTTCTTCCTCTGCGCATGCGCAGCGGCGACTCTGACGTCACCACGCGACTCAACGCCTCCGTACGGCTCCGCGCGCTCCGCGCATGCGCAGAAAACGCGATGGGCGCCGCCATTTTGGGTAAAGCCGCATTGCGGCTCCGTCGTTTGTTGCGCATGCGCAGTGCGCCAATGGGCGCCGCCATGTTTACCGGCGTTGCCGTACGCCTCCATCGGGCCGCGCCCGGAAGCGCCGAACGGGCCCGGACCGGAGCCGGGACCCCCCCCGGGACCCCCCCGGGACCCCTCAGGATCCCCCCCCGGTAACCGCGGATCAGTCCCGGGATCCCCCTCCGGTAACCCCCGGACCCCCCTCCGGTAATCCCGGGACCCCCTCAGGATCCCCTCAGGACCCTCCCGGTAACCCCGGGATCCCCTCAGGATCCTCCCCTCGTTATCCCGACGGTATTCCCGGTTTTTTTCCGGGATTTAAACCTCAAAATTCCTGCGGTTTTATCCCCCCTCACATCCCTCGTTATCCAACCGGGATTTAAATCCCGGTTTCCCCTCACGATTCCCGGGATTCCCTCAGGATTTCCCCCCTAATATTCCCCAAAATTCCCGAGTTTTCCTTGGATTTAACCCCCGTTATCCTCCTCAAAATTCCCGATTTTTCTCTGGATTTAAATCCCTTTATCCCCCTCAAAATTCCCGATTTTCCCCTGGATTTAACCCCCTCAAAATTCCCGATTTTTCCCTGGATTTAACCCCCTTTATCCCCCTCAAAATTCCCGATTTTTCTCTGGATTTAACCCCCTTTATCCCCCTCAAAACTCCCGAAATTCTACCGGGATTTAAACCCGATGATTCCCGAAAATTCTCTCGGGATTTAATTCCCATTTTCCCCCCTCAGAATTCCCGAATTTCTCCCGGGATTTAAGGCCCCAAATCCCGTCGATATTCCCGGAATTCCAGCGGGATTAAACCCCCAAAATTCCCTCAGGATTTAACCCCTCAACCCCAGATTTCTCCCCTCAATATTCCCGAAATTCCTTCAGGAATTCAACCCTTAATTCCCAGATTTTTTTTCCCTTTCGCTTTTCCCACTTCCCCCCAATTTTTTCCAGATTTTCCTGAATTTTTCCCGATTTTCCCCCCGCTTTTTTCCTGATTTTTCCCGCTTTTTTCCCGCTTTTCCCCCCGATTTTTCCTGATTTTTTTCCAGATTTTTTCCCAATTTTTCCCTGAGATTTTTCCCTAGACTTTCCCGATTTTTTCCCGCTTTTTTCCCATTTTTTTTCCGATTTTTTCCTGATTTTCCCCTGATTTTTTCCTGTTTTTTCCTGATTTTTTCCCAATTTTTACCGATTTTTTCCCAATTTTTTTCCCGATTTTTCCCCAGATTTTCCCGATTTTTTCCTGTTTTTTCCCAATTTTTCCCCGATTTTTTCCCAATTCTTTCCCGATTTTTTCCTGATTTTCTCCAGACTTTTCCCGATTTTTTCCCTGATTTTTTTCCCAATTTTTCCCGATTTTTTCCCTATTTTTTCCCGATTTTTCCCTGAGATTTTTCCCTTTTTTCCCCTGTTTTTCCTGGTTTTTCCCCAATTTTTTCCCATTTTTTCCCCAGATTTTTCCCGATTTTTCCCTGAGATTTTTCCCTTTTTTCCCCTGTTTTTCCTGGTTTTTCCCCAATTTTTTCCCATTTTTTCCCCAGATTTTTCCCGATTTTTCCCTGAGATTTTTCCCTTTTTTCCCCTGTTTTTCCTGGTTTTTCCCCAATTTTTTCCCATTTTTTCCCCAATTTTTCCCCAATTTTCCCCCATTTTTTCCACAGATTTTTCCCGATTTTTCCCATTTTTTCCCAATTTTTTCCCCATTTTTCCCATTTTTTCCCCATTTTTTCCCCAGATTTTTCCCGATTTTTCCCATTTTTTTCCCAATTTTTTCCCCATTTTTCCCATTTTTTCCCCAGATTTTTCCCCGATTTTTCCCATTTTTTTCCCAGATTTTTCCTGATTTTTCCCATTTTTCCCCCAATTTTTCCCCATTTTTTCCCCATTTTTTTCCCAATTTTTTCCCCATTTTTCCCATTTTTCCCCCAGATTTTCCCCAGATTTTTCCCGATTTTTTCCCAGATTTTTCCCCATTTTTCCCCATTTTTTCCCCATTTTTTTCCCGTTTTTTCCCCAGTTTTTCCCCTTTTTTTCCCCTCATGGAATCCCAATGCGATTATTCCATGTATTTCCCCGCCGTTCCCTTCCCTCCCCGGGAATTCCTGGCCGGAGAATCCTCGGGATATCGATCCCTCCCCCGCCGGAATCACCTTTACCTGGGCGAAACCGTGCGATTCCTGCTGGTCCTGAGGAAAAACCCCGGGAATCCCGACAAAAACCCCGGGAATCCCGACAAAAACCCCGGGAATCCCGACAAAAACCCCGGGAATCCCGACAAAAACCCCGGGAATTCCGCCAACATCCCGGGAAAAACCCCCTGGATCCAGTTGGCTTCGTCTTTATCCGCCTTGGCCACCGTCACCTGCGGCGACAACGCCGGCAAAAACCGGGATGAGGAGGAAAACGACGCAAATCCCGGGAATTTTGGGAATGACGAGCGAGAGGATTCCAAGGAGCCGCCGGTTTTCCGGGAATGCCGCGCGCTGCTGACCCATTCCAGGGGCCCGCCGGGATCCGCCGGAGCTGGGGTGAGGACGGGGAAATTTGGGAATTCTGGGGGTGGGCCCAGGGAAAAATTGGGAATCGCAGGGATGGCGGAATTCCCGTTTTTCCTGGGGGTTTTTTCCCGCTTTTTTCCCCATTTTTTTCCCGTTTTTTCCCGATTTTTCTTGGTTTATTCCCTCTTTTTTTCCCGGTTTTTTTCCCCATTGTTTTCCTGTTATTTTCAGGGTTTTTTTTCCCGTTGTTCCCATTTTTATCCCGGTTTTCCCCTTTTTTTCCCACCTTTTTTCCCATTTTTTCATGGTAAAATTCAATTTTTCCCATTTTTTTCCCCATTTCCCCCCATTTCTCCCCATTTTTTCCCATTTTTTTCCCATTTTTTCCCAATTCCCCCTCGTTTTTTCCCGTTTTTCCCCAATTTCCACCCATTTTTCCCATTTTTCCCCAATTTTTCCCATTTTTCCCCATTTTTCCCCTGTTTTTCCCCAATTTTTTCCCATTTCCTCCCCATTTTTCCCATTTATCCCCAATTTTTTCCCATTTTTCCCCATTTTTCCCCGTTTTTCCCCGTTTTTCCCCAATTTTTTCCCATTTCCTCCCCATTTTTCCCCATTTTCCCCCATTTTTTCCCATTTTTTCCCATTTTTTTCCCATTTTCTCCCCATTTTTCCCAATTTCCCCGTGTTTTACCCCATTTTCCCCGTTTTTTTCCTAATTTATCCCCATTTTCCCCATTTTTTTCCCATTTTTCCCCCATTTTTCCCATTTCCCCCAATTTTTCCCCATTTCCTCCCCATTTTTTCCCATTTCTCCCCGTTTTTCCCCATTTTTTCCCGTTTTTCCCAATTTTTTTCCCAATTTCCCTGTTTTGCCCCATTTCCCCCGTTTTTTCCCCCATTTTTCCTCAATTTTTTCCCATTTTCCCCAATTTTTCCCCCATTTTTCCCATTTTCTCCCCATTTTTTTCCCAATTTTTTCCCATTTTTCCCAATTTTTTCCCATTTTTTCCCATTTTTTTCCCATTTTTCCCAATTTTTGCCCATTTTTTTCCCATTTTTTTCCCATTTTTCCCCATTTTTTTCCCATTTTTTCCCCATTTTTCCCCCATTTTTCCCATTTTTCCCAATTTTTTCCCATTTTTTCCCATTTTTCCCCCGTTTTTCCCAATTTTTGCCCATTTTTTGCCCATTTTTTCCCCATTTTTCTCATTTTTTTCCCAATTTTTCCCATTTTTTTCCCATTTTTCCCAATTTTTCCCCATTTTCCCCGTTTTTCCCATTTTTTCCCAATTTCCCTGGTTTTTGCCCCATTCCAGCTGCCCGTGGACGATCCCATCGTCTCCTCGGACGAGATCATCTTCCCGCTCACCGTGGCCCTGGACCGGCTCCCGCCCGCCACCGCCAAGGCCAAGGTGGGGACACCTGGGGACACCTGGGGGGACATGGGGACACCTGGGGACACCTGGGGACATCGAAACCTCACCTGGGGACACCTGGGGACACCTGGGGACATCAAAACCTCACCTGGGGACATCTGGGGACACCTGGGGACACCTGGGGGGACCTGGGGACACTTGGGGACAGCTGAGGGGACCTGGGGACACTTGGGGACACCTGGGGACATCAAAACCTCACCTGGGGACACCTGAGATACACCTGGGGGGACATTGGGACACCTGGGGACACCTGGGGGCCATTGGGGCCATTGGGGATGGGATGGGAGGGACCTTGGGGACACCTTGGGGACACCTTGGTGACCCCGTGGTGACCTTGGTGACCCCGTGGTGACCTTGGTGACCTCGGTGACCCCGTGGTGACCCCATGGTGACCTTGGTGACCCCATGGTGACCTTGGTGACACTTTGGTGACCTTGGGGACACCTTGGTGACACCTTGATGACACCTTGGGGACACCTTGGGGACACCTTGATGACCTTGATGACCTCGGTGACCCCGTGGTGACCCCGTGGTGACCCCGTGGTGACCTTGGTGACCCCATGGTGACCTTGGTGACCCCATGGTGACCTTGGTGACACTTTGGTGACCTTGAGGACACCTTGGTGACACCTTGATGACACCTTGGGGACACCTTGGGGACACTTTGATGACACCTTGATGACACCTTGGGGACACCTTGATGACCTCGGTGACCCCGTGGTGACCCCGTGGTGACCCCGTTGTCCCCAGATCGTGGTGACCGTGTGGCAGCGGGACACGGAGCCACCAGAGCTACAGGAGGAGGTGACAGCGCCACCCCAGGTGACAACAACAACACCCGGCCAGGTGACAGCGCCACCCCAGGTGACAACAACAACACCCGGCCAGGTGACAGCGCCACCGCAGGTGACAACACCCGGCCAGGTGACAGCGCCACCGCAGGTGACAACAACAACACCCGGCCAGGTGACAGCGCCACCGCAGGTGACAACAACAACACCCGGCCAGGTGACAGCGCCACCGCAGGTGACAATGACAGGGACAGGGGGGTACCTGAGGCTCCTCCAGGGCCGCGCCCCCGGCCAGGTGTTCCGGCAGCAGCACGGCGCCTTCAAGGCACAAGGTGAGGTCCCCAAGTGTCCCCAGGTGTCCCCAGGTGTCCCCAGGTGTCCCCAGGTGTGTCCCCAGGTGTCCCCAGGTGTCCCCTCCCTTGTGGTGCCACCCCCAAGTGCCACCGCCAGGTGTCCCCATGGCGCCACCAAGACACAAGGTGAGGTCTCCAAGTGTCCCCAGGTGTCCCCAAGTGTCCCCAGGTGTCCCCAGGTGTCCCCAAGGGTCCCCAGGTGTCCCCAAGGCCACCCAGGTGTCCCCAGATGTCCCCAGAGCCCCCCGGGACCACCAGGGATTGTCCCCAACCCCGACTTAGGGACGCTTTTGGTGCCACCGAGGTGGGACAGAGCTGTCCCCAAATGTCCCCGAGGCCACCCAAATGTCCCCAAATGTCCCTGAGGCCACCCAAAAGTCCCCAGATGTCCCCAAATGTCCCCAAATGTCCCCAAATGTCCCCGCAGTGTCCACTCTGCTGACGGTGCTGCCACCGCCGCGCGTCCGCTGCCGCCAGGTGACCGTGTCCGGCAAATACCTGACCGTGCTGAAAGGTGACACTTGGGGACACCTGGGGACACACCTGGGGGGGTGGGGACACCCCTGGGGACACACCTGGGGACACACCTGGGGACACCCCTGGGGACACCTGGGGGGGGGTGGGGACAATTTTGGGGGGGACAAAGTGGGTGGGATGAAGGGGGGAGGGGCAACCTATAAATGTCCCCAATGTCCCCAATGTCCCCGATGTCCCC